CTGTCCCCGCGCCGAGGCCACAGCGCCCCCCGCCTGCGCGCCGGGCCCCTGCACCCGGGCCAGAGGCGGTGCTACGCCGGGCGGGTGAGGAGCGCGGTCGCCGGCTCCGGGCCGAACGGACCCTCGCTGCAGGGGGCGCGGCTGCCGCCCGCTCTGGGGGTGGACCCTGAACACCCACTCCGGGGCGCGTGGCCCGGAGGCGACGGGTGGCCGAAGGCAGCCTCCGCCCACCCCCGGCGGCCGAGACTGACACCACCGCCGGAGTGACCGAAGCGGTTCCGCCTTGTTGCGCCCACGCGGGCGGAGAAGCCTGAGCTTCCTCCGGTTCCCCTGGCTCCCCGCCTCCCCTTCCCGGCCGCAGCCTGTGCGGCGGGGGCCCCTTGCTGGCCACAGTGCTTCACCCAAGGGGGAAATGAAGCGTCTTGGGGACACGCCCGCAGGAGACTGAATTAAACGGCAACTTTTTAAAGTCTTCGCTACATACAGCCCATCGTGTGATTTTTCTTCTAAGATCATTTGTGCTCCAATCGTTTGGGAACAAAATGATGTCAGGTCCAGCGCTGTTGCTCGTTGGGCATGCCATGAACCAGCAAAGTAATTTGTAGATTCAATTTCTTCTTCTGCGTAAATGTTATTTGGAGACATTAATATAATGGGGGGGGGGAGTCCCATTTGTCTCTGACTTCTTCCTCCTACATTTAGTCAACAGTCCACGCAGAAAACAGGGGAACCTGGTTCTAGTCAGGACGCAAAGGCTTCTCGGGGTTTACAGGTGGTTTAAGAAGCATCACACACTATTCACATAAATACTGGCGCTACAACAGCGACAACAACAATAACAATAACAGCAGGAGCTAATAAATATTGAGCCTTTATGTGCCAGACACTGTTGGAAGCACTCTCCCTGAACTCATTTGTTTAATCTTCACGTGACTTATACCCATTCTACAGATGAGAAAATCTCAGGCTCAGAGATATTTTAGAAATGCCCAGGTTCCACAAGCTGTCAAGTGGCAGCGACAAGATCCAAACCCAAATAGTCTAGCTCCAGAGCCTAAGCTCTTGGTTTTTCCAAGTTCTTACTTACATTCCAGTTAGTTAACATCCGGTGTAATGTTAGTTTCAGATGTACAATATAGTGATTCAATGATCCTATACGTTTCAGTGCTGAGACTATGCAGCTATGGGGACACGGGGAGATTCTGTTCAAGGGACACAAAGCTTCAGTTACACAAGATAAGTAAGTTCTGGAGATCTAATGTGCAGCAATGGGACTATAGTTAACAACATTGTATTGTCCTACTTGAAATTTGCTAAGAGGGCAGATCTTAAATTTCTCACCACCCACACACAAAGGTAACTATGTGAGGTGATGGATAATGTTAAGTGCCTTGACTGGGGTGAATATTTCACTGCGTATATAGGTATTAAATTATCAGATTGTATACCTTAAATGTGCACAATTTTTAATTGTCAACTATACTGGAGGAAAAGGACATGCAGGTAAAAAAATGTTGAAAAATAGTATTATGGAGCGGTGTGTCAGGCAGCTTATTAAAATGTATTCTTGCGGGTTTTTCTTGATGTTTATGGTATTTGTTGGCCTTTTAAGTTTTATAGCTTGTTGTGATGCATTTCTCATTTTAAATGAATATTTTTTTAATGTTTATTTATTTTTGAGGGGGAGAGAGAGACAGACCGTGAGTGGGGGGAGGGGGGAGAGAGAGAGGGAGACAGAATCTGAAGCAGGTTCCAGGCTCTCCATGCTTTCAGCACAGAGCCTGATGCAGGGCTCGAACTCATGAGCTGTGAGATCGTGACCTGAGCCCAAGTCGGACGCTTAACCGACTGAGACACCCAGGTGCCCCTGAATATTTATTTTTGTACCTAATCGTCAAATTGATATTTTTCTCTTAAAGAAGACCCCCAAATTTGATAAGCTTTTAGGCTGTACAAAATTTTGCTTTACCCCCTACATCTGACCATATGTTAATTTTTGTATCCTATAGCCTTTGACTCCTGCTTTACTCCCTTTTTAAAAAGTTTTGTTCAATTTATTTAAACTGAAAAAAAAAAATTCCCCCATTTCTCCCACCCCCACCACCTCCCACCTTTTGCAACCACCAATTTGCTCTCTGTATCTGTGAGCTTATTTGGTTTTTGTTTGGTTGATTTGGTTGGTTGGTTGGTTGGTTGGTTGGTTTAGATTTCCCATGTGAGATCATACAATATTCGTCTTACTCTGTTTGACTTATTTCACTTATCAAAATGCTCTCAAAGCCCATCCATGTTTTCACAGATGGCAAGATTTCATTCTTTTTTTTGTGGCTGAATAATATTCCATTGTGTGTGTATATATAATACATTTTCTTTATCCATTCATCCATTGAAGGACACCTAAGTTGTTTCCATGTCTCCATTAAAAATAATGTTGCAACAAACTGAGGGTTGATGGAGGGGGTGGGTGGGAGGAAGGGGAGGGTGGGTGATGGGCACTGAGAAGGGCACCTGTTGGGATGAGCACTGGGTGTTGTATGGAAACCAATTTGATAACAAATTTCATATTTAAAATAATAATAATGTTGCGATGCCTAGGGAGGTGCAGATACCTTTTTGAACTAATGTTTTCACTTTCCTTGGATAAATTCTCAGAAGTAAGATTGCTGGATCATATGGTGGTTCTATTTTTAATTTTTTGGAGAGACTCCATACTGTTTCCATAAAGACTGCACCAATTTACGTTCCCACCAAGCAATGTACCCAGGGTTCCCTTTTCTCCGAATCCTTAGCAACACTTGTTCTTTCGCGTCTTTTCCATTACAGCTATTCTAACAGGTATGAAGCGGTATCTCATGGTGGTTTTGATTTGCATTTCCCTGATGATTAATGCTAGTAAGCATCTTATCACGTACCTGTTGGCCATCCATACGTTTTCGGGAATATGTCTGTTTAGATCTCCTGCCCATTTTTTCATCGGATTGTTTGAGTGTTTTTTTTTTGCTGTTGAGTTTCTATGCGTTGTTTATATATTTTGGGTATTAGCCCCTTATCGCACAGATGACTCACAACTACTTTCTCTCATTCAATAAATTACTTTTTCATTTGGTCGATGGTTTTCTTTGCTGTGCGGAACCTTTTTAGTTGCACTCGTTTT